ATGCTGCACATTGGTGGTGGTGGAGGGGAGTCCCCATTACCTGTAAAGCGCTTTGAGTGGAATGTCCAGAAAAGCGCTATATAAGTGTAAGCAATTATTATTATTAATTATAACTTATAGAAATTAGGGTCTTCTTTGTACTTCTATCGAGCAGAACATTCTAGCCACATTGTTATGTATTTGATCCTTTTTTACCCATACACTACAAGCAAACAACAAAAGGTCTAAAGCACAGGTCTAAAAAAAAACTTTCTAAGTGTTTCATCATCTAGTGATTTTCATCTTAAACGAAAAATTGTAAGTCTAAAGGGAACCAACCTATAACAATCTCTACCACACTGCAGTTCAGAACGTGATATATCATTGCATGATCATTTTATACACCAAAACATCTCCATACTGCCAAATTCCCTAAACTCTGTCCTCTCAATATAGCCTTCGGAGTCACTAAAGATGCCTCAAAGAAGCTGTAGCACAAGAAAGGAAAGGGACTGTACTGATATGTTATGGCCCTTCTTGCATCTGTGAAAACACTTCAAACATCAATGAAGAAACATTTTATGCTGGAAACAATATAGGCAAAAAACAGTACTGTAAAGCTACACGCAGTATATTCATAACGTTTATCCTTGGTCCTCTATCCTTGACCTTGTATTACTTTATTACACTGTAAAGCTAACTTTAACTACCAGGTAGACATATACATGTGTGATATTATAACTAAATGTGAGTCACATATAATTAATACAATGTGCTGTACTATACAATTATTGTTAGGGGCTCAGAAATATACAAAAATCTGATATTGTTTCTCGCTTGATTTACTGTGTAACTTAACCACTAAACAAAAAACAACTTCAACACATTCCAAACTCTCCTGGAGTGTGACAAATCCTACTTATTCCGTTGCAAGTATATAAACCGACCTGAGAGAGTTTTAAATAAATCCTTTACTTTTCTGCTGGTAATGAGTGTGAATGGGTGTCAGTAAGCGAGAGAGGCAAAAAAACAGGGAGACAAAAAAAGAAATGGACACTTTTACTGCTACAGCTTTAGGAAAAACTCAGATTTGATACAGTATATTGGGCATAATGAAATGTAACTTGGTGTAATGTGATTCCTGACAGACAGTCCTCTTGGGCAGTCATTGTGTAAGAATGAGGAATGACCAATAACACCTTAGATCTGCCAATGTGCGGGCTTGAAAAGGAAGCAAACTGGGGCAATGTGCATACTGGGCCATGTAGACAAAATTCTTTGCTTAGCCAATCTCAGCACAACAAAAACTGTTTTAAGGCACTAATCATAGTGTTGTTCCTTGTAAAAAACTCACAGATGGAATTTAAGACAAATTGAATTTAACACATTTTATGAGCTTGGGCTCATTCTTTGGGCTACAAACAAAAGTGTTGTACTGGATTTGTGGGAGATCGGCATGTTCGAAAATCTCACAACTACAGTATTTCACTATAAACACGGGGCTCATGCTATACTCAGAGATGCCTTGGGGTTTTTTACTAAAAAGGGTGGCAGCATTAAGAACTATTAAGCACAAGATTTTCATCAAGGTGGGATGCACAGTGGTTAGCATTGATGCCCTGCAGAGCTGCAGAACTGGGTTCCTGGGTTCAGTTCTAGATCTGGGGTACTATCTGCTGGAGTTTGTATGTTCTCCCTGTATTTGCATTGGGTTTCCTCTCACAGTCATACTGTCTCATAGACATAGTGCTAGGTTAATTGGCTTCTGGGAAAATCAGCCCTGGTGTGAGTGTGTGCTTGTTTGTCTCTGTCCTGCGATGGACTGGCATCCCTTCCAGGGTGTATCCTGCCAGCATTAGGAGCTATTAAGCACAAGAGTTTCATCAAGGTGGGCGGCACTGTGGCACAGTGGTTAGCATTGATGTCCTGCAGACCTGGGTCCCTGGGTTCAATTCCTCGGAGGCTACTGTATCTGTGTGGATCTGTATGTACTGTACTCCCTTTGTTTGGGGGGATTTCCTCTGGCTGCTCTGATTTTCTCCCAAAGTCCAAGCACATACTGGTATGTTAATTGTATTCTGGGAAACCTGGCCCTGGTGTGAGTGTTTGTGTATTTGTGTCGGTATGTCTGCCCTGTGATGGACTGGTATTCCGCCCAGGGTGTATCCTGCCTTGCTCCCGTTGGTTGCTATGGCTTCCATGCGGCCCTGTATTGACTGAAGCAGTTAGACAATAGATGGATGAAATTTCAGCGATGTGCCTAGAGTTTCTGTTTCATAACAAAAAAGACAACACCCAAAAGACAACACTGCCACAACCCCGTAATTTGACAAAACACGTAAGGGAATTTGTGAGGACTTATCCAAAGATAAAGATTTCATGCAAATGATAAAAAACACATGATGCCCCCCTCCCTCCTTACTTGGACTGAAGCCGAGTTAATGCCTCCTCAAAGTCGTTTCTTAGGAAAAGGTCCAGAGCACCCATACAGTCTTCCAGTGCAACTGACAGGTCCGACTTCTGTGACCTGGAAAACAAGAACGGCATCAGCATGGAGGTATTTAATGCATGTGATTAGGATATATTCTCCTCCATCTTCTACAGTCCTAGCACAGCATTCGTACAGTAGTCATTTGCTGCATTAAGGACACCAGCAATAGCAAAGACAACTCTTGTTTGAATATAGAATGGAGGATTAAAGTTCTTGCACACAAGTCTCAAGGAATTTTTTTATGCTCAGCACACACCATGGTACAGTACACACCAATGTCTACATGAACACAGTAAGTGTTCAGATATTCACTAACTTTGCTCTCCCAACAATTAAAAGCTTTGATGGAAGATAGTAGGGCAATTTGGGCAGTTTTTGAGTCAGTTATGTATGAACTGTATGTATGAAGTGTGCTAGGTACTACTTCACCATAGATCACAATTTGTACATCTTTACAATAGCAAAGGAGCTCAGGCCAGTTGAGATCAGAATTAACATGGTCGCAAAACCTTGCAATAACACATGCTGGTATTGCAACTGGTTGTCACCGCACTTCTAATGTCACAAGTGTCAGTGAGATTTTTTTCTTGTTACAGAGTCTAGTCCTCAATTTCACTTTAAATGCTCTGTTTTCGTCTTTGAAGTACTATATGTCAGAACATAAAGTTTTAGAGTTTTATTTAGATACCCAAAGACTCCACCTTTTCCATGTACCTGAATTGAAAACGTAGTGAAATAAAAAAAGAGATAAGCAGCTTTTTCTCCATTATCCCCTGGCTGTCTGTATTATACAATGACTAAATGATGCACACTTGGTATAATTTGACTAATCCATACAGTTTTTGACAAAAATGCCAAATTAAATCAGTTTATAACCTTAGTCGGACAACAGACAAAGCCTATGTTTCATATAAACAGGCCTTTTCTCTGAAGGAAGTTGAAACCTTTTCGTCAACATAACATTTCTGCTTCTCTGGCTCATTGCTATGATCTATAACTATCATGGGAGGACTTGAGCATTGCATGGAATTATTACACTGATAAATAAACTGCAGCTTCTGTGAGGTGTAAAGCAAGGATGTCACAAATGCTCAATTATTGTGCAGCTTTCAAAGTGATTAATGATCACTATGAGTTCAGCAGCTGCGTCACATTCGCTTCAAATTAGCTCAATTACTAGCAGCTGGTTGTAAGGGAAAATACAGACCGTGTACAGAGAAGGCCTGGACAGTTAATCAGAAGATCACTACAGACAACGACACTGAGCAGAGTACCCAGCACAGTCCCTGGTGCATACAGAATCCATATTTCACCAAATACATATCATTCATATAAGCTGCGTGCACAACGAGAACATTATTTTATAAACCAACAAATCCTAATTCTATTGAGGGCCACTGAAGAAAGAAGTGACTGTTTCGTCCTTTTGCACATTAGCCCATTTCTCCCAGAAGAAATCCAGTGATTTTCTGACAAGCCCCTCCTCAGGGAGCTTCACAGAGATGAGACAATCTTTCTTGCTGCTTTGATTTTTTAACTTCTTTATTCCTTCTCAGCCAGCTTCCAACTTTTCTAAATGGGTACCTTTTCCACAGAATTTGACCAGTATAAATCGAAACAAATCTCAATGAAGATGGGCTGCATGCATTTTATTTCAGTCCAGCACAATGCATTTTTAACGTATTCAGTGTAACACTGGTTATGAGTGTAGTGAATGTGGTCACATTATTCGCAGTAGTTGTGCTGTTACAATCATTTTAGAATATAGGGAGGGTCATTCTGAATTAACTGCCAGGCAGAATAAATCCAAGGGTTTAAGTAGGTTTTGAAAATAATGCTACAATGATGCCCACAACAGACTTCTTTGTACTGTACTGTACTGTACTGTACTGAGTAGCACCATACTGTATATCACATTACATTGCAAAACAAAAGTCAGCAGTTCTCTGAAATTTTCAAATCTCTAAAGGGCAATTTGCAAAAACAGTAAGATCATTCCTCTGACACACAGCCTTCTTTATCCCGGCTTCGGCAGTGATACTGTGTAATCATGTTATTGTCATCGGAACATTTTTTGAATGAAGAAAACACGCAAAAGCCACGCAGACTGGCGCACTTTTTTAAGCACATGCACACGATAAAGATCACTGCATCGTTGCACTAACCCCTCCGAAGCCAAACTAAACCCGAAAAGAATACGTTGAATACGTTTAAGTTGAATTTTTTGTATCCAGAGGGAGCATTAACGAGACACAAGGGCACAGAAACATCTGTGCACGTTTTCACACGGATGGATCCAATGGTACCTGCACTCTTACCCGTTGGAGAGAGTCTCTGCTTCCCCTGACATTTTCATCTGGCAGAGCTGGAGAGAGCGGAGTCTGCCCCTTTCACAACAGGCAGTTTTCTACAGCTCGCTGAAGATCGCAGGCCCTTCTAAATGAGAAGGATTTCCCAGTTGGCCTGAGAGGCAAGCACGCAGGAGGGGAAGAACACAGTCTAATAAGATTGGGATGACTATCACACTGGGAAACTAAGCATATGCAATCTCAGCCCCCCCTCCTTCCCTAAGTCTGCTCTGTGCTCTCCCCACCATTGCACTTACACAGCGCTCACTGCAGAGGATAGTGCTTACTGATTGGGTGCTGCACTAGTGACTGTAGGCAGTAGGACTGGAGTCAAATAAAAATCTGAGCCAGATATTCATTGGAGATAGTGACTCCTGTGGCAGCACATCCCTTTGGTAACTCTGATTAACCCTGGCAGCGAGCTGTTGGAGTAGAAGTCCTCTTAATTATGATGGAAAAATAAATACTAAATATTGCAGATTTCCACTTCACTGACTGCAGCAACTCGACTCCCAGAAAGCTGCCAGAAAACTGAAATGTGAATGAGGCTATTTTCTCAAAGCTTGTAAATTTGAGAACACAACTAACGTACAGTCACAATGACATATATTGTATCTATTTATACACATCTTGCCTTTGCACTTAGAGTGAAAGGCAACCAAGGGAAACAAATGTCCTTGTGATCTGTGATTTGTATTACAAACATACCATCTGAGTCTTAAGTCTTCCGATCAATCGTTGCCATATACTGTTATATACAGTATGTGTACAAACAAAGGTCACAAAAACAAGCTACTCTCCTCCCTCAATGGAGTTCTGTGGAAGTATGAACTATTAGATTTATTTAGAAACAGTCACATTCACGTACTCGCTCACAGACTGATTCCATGGACATAAACACATACTTCAGGAATATGCAGCACATTGTAAAATTTGGTGTTTGCAAAACAGTGATCCCAAAAATACCCTTTTCTGTATGAAAAGTACCTAAAAAATGCATTTCCTTAGATACAAGTTCCAAAATCTGTAACAAAAAGTTCTCTTCTATATTATTTTGCTCTTTATAGGATTTTCCTAGAATTCCAGCAATGTGTTTTTTCACTTTTTAGAAACAAAATGTATGTTTCATGCTTTTTAATCTCTGTGGAAGAAATGGGAAATGAAATGCAAAATGATGAGAGAACCCTAAACAGAGTCCAGTCATCTTCATATAAGCAGCCTTGACATAAAGTCAACATGTAGTCCAGAAGTATAAGGTGTCTTTTGGCCTTTTGTATCTAACAGGGCTTGACACAGACGCTCATAAAGAAGGTTTAGTGAAAATGTGGCTTACAGAAGTCTGCTCTGTAACAGTAGCACATAATGATTATCCCAGAACTCTGAATTCTAATGTGTGGTACAGAATCAGGAGAAACCAATTAGACACACGATGACTCTCTCTCCTGGGATACAGGCAGTCCTTGCATTTACTGTCAAAAACCTAGAAGTTTCCCATTCGTTTTGCCAGACACCATGTGTTGCACTGATTAATATCCATCCCTAGGGGTAGCTAGTTTATTAATGGATTATTATTGAACTGCATTTGTTAAAGGAAACCATTGCAATTTGATAGTTTACAGTCTGAATTTGATCAGAACAATTGCCGTCATTTTCTTTCTGCAGTGGGACTGCTATTGGGATTTCTAATAAAGCAGCACTTTGCAACAGTTTTGTAACAGTGCATGCAGCATTAACGGGAAACAGTATATAATACACATAATCAGTCTGATTATTATAGTCTTACTGTGTAATGAACAGTCAGAAAAACCTAATTCTATCATGAGAGCTGCCTGACACAAAAGGCTAATTTAGAAGTGTTTTCTGGTGATTTAGTTCTGGACTTCTAAGTTAATCACCAGATGCACGGGCTTGCTGCTTGACCTCGTCAGATCTTACAGTAAAGCAGGAATGGGAGACTTCTAGGGGGAAACGAGAGAAATTCTTCTCTCTGGACAAAAACAAGCTACCGCTAGGTACTGTCTTAAAGAATTGCTGATACAGTATGTAAACATTATGTTTGTTAAAGGGTTTATGGCACTCTCCATAAAAGTCATATTCTAGTGCATCAGTCACAGGTTAATACGTTTGGTCTGCAAAGCACTGTTCTAAGTAGTTTCAGAAGCCAAAGATTTGTTTTGTCAAGGAGCTTCATCAAAAGACATGGTCATGAATTCAAGATATCATGAATTAACAGAGGTGTTCATATAAGGCAATATACAGTATAAGGCAATATGAGGCAGTTGCTGGTGTCACACACAAGATTATTCTGTTTCAAATCACAGAAGCAGACATGCTATGAATTTGTAGTATACTTCTCTTTTGCACATGACCCTGTAGTTTGTAAAACCTAAAAATTGTATATGTGCTTTAATTGGAATATGATTCGATTACTTAGCCATTTGCACTAGTAAGAAACTGAGGTCAAATGATCTTCAGAACAAGAGTGATTAGTAGTCGAGTACTTGATATCAGAGATAATATCTGAGAAGCTTCTGTTCTGCTGAAGGTGAATTCCATTGAAAAGAAGTACATTGCTTTCTGCTAAATGCATTTTAGAAATTCCTTTTGGTCTTTAAGGAAAATGTTGGAATAAAACAATTTGTTATAAGAGGCTCCAGTTTGTATCTACATTTCATCAACATAATTCCT